GCACGTACGTGTTGTTAATAGGGAATTATAAAATACAGTAGGTCACTTATTTTCTTAAAAAGCATTTTAATATGTATTCTGATTACTGATATTGCGATTTTAGAACTATCTCTACGAATGGTGGTAACTGAATTACACTTTTCTACCTTGATTCTTAACTGTGAAACGAACGTAGCGCTTTCTGATTATCGAGATCTGACAGCATGTTATTAATTTTCATGCTCATTAGTTCATGCTCATTATTTGCAGCTTTAAACTGCTTCAGTGCAGCAAATTCAGAATCTAAAAATATGTTCGAACTGTTATTTGTTACTAAGTCTGATCTGTTAATAATAACTGAAGACACTTTGCACACTAGGCCTAGCTTCTAGTATGATAAATGCTTAAGAAATGAGAATAATTATTTAAAACGACAGTAACTCGCACCATTCAAATAAAATATGATGCTATTTCAAATTACTTTCATGACAAAAAACCACAATTTTATTATTTATGTACAGAATGGTAAAGTTTAAAGCGAAGTAAATACTCACATTGTGAATATAATAATAAAATTTACTAGTTTTATGATGTATTAGTTTCATGACAGTTAAAAAAGACTTTGCCCCCTATTAAAAATTCCAGTAATTAATTTAGGTGAATTCAGTAAGCTACGAGGTTTACATGTTTATTATACCTGTATAATATATGAAATAATATGTATTAAGTGCTAATATATGAACTAGAATAACTATGATTATTTTTGTATTAAAATTTAGAATTGTTTGACTATTGAACTATAACTTCAGTATTTCTGTAAAAATACAAGCTGCATGCATATTTCGGCCTATGTAATGTTATTTATTTAATGAAATGATGAATTTTTCCGGTTGCAGAGCCCTAATTACTTTGAATGCGAATAGCTTAAATCGAAGAGAATACTATTTAATTATAACTATAATATTTCTTTCAGGAAAATAAAGTATTACATGAATTTCATTATTTTGTTCTATAAATGTATGGCATAGGAATGCCCTTCGGGTTTCAACACAGAATACTGAACTAAACGATATAACATCTGAATCTAAAACATTTTTCTGGAAATAAAAATTAAAAAAAATGACTTTCATTTTTTAAAATCTTCTTTCTGGGAGTCTAAATAAGTATTTTATTTTTTATAAATTAAATATGCGAATAGTCTTGAATATTTTGGATACACCAATTTAAATTTCTACCACAATAAAAAACTTCAAATCTGTGTGATTAAAAAGAAATAATTAGATAAATATCATCAATTTGCTCTATGATAAGCATGGAAGACTATATCAACTGGAACTAAATTCTTCAGTCACGGTTATGCAGTCACAACAACACGGTTAAGTATCGCGTTATTAAATGTGTCTTGTTGCCGATACACTCTTCTTAAGGTTTAAGTGTGCTACGGCCATACATAGAGCAGGTACACAAGACATTGTGAAAGTAGTCAGTCTGCTTAAACTGAATTCAAGGATATTCTGAGAGGTTTTGTTCGAATCAATATAAACGAAATTTAATTTTTAAAGAATATTAGCTTTCATTTTGTAAAAATCATAAATAAAGCAATTGTAAATAAGGAACATAGGAAAAATTCTTTCATTTATTAAATAATGGTTTTTAAATTCAGCTGCAGTTTTTTTTGTTAAGTTGAAAAGTTAATTGCATTTCTGATAAAGCTCTTTTATGAAATGTCCAGAGTAATTGCAACTCAATTTCTTTTATTATAATTGCAACACTTTTTATGTAACGTGTAAAAACTAATGTACTCTAATTTCCGTCTGATTTCATTATGTATATGTCAAAGCAAAGTACCGAATAAAGTAAAGTTAAATTCTTTAAATAAAATAATGATAGGCAATAAATTTTAATAATTCTAAGAAAGTCATTTTCTTATATTTCTATTTTAAGCAATTGCGAACGCATGTTGAATTCACTTTACTATGAAGAACAAAAATGTTACGTGAGATTTATATGTCTGATAAAATCTGGTGAAAATAATCTTTATAAAATTTTATTTTTGTAATATATAGAGAGGCAAAACTAGCGTAAAGTCATAGTTAATTATTCTTTACATTATTATAGAATATAATATAATATTGTCTACAGCCGTCACACTACAGACAAAGGAGTTTGAATTAAAGAACTAAGTAAAGAGTGAAGAGAAAGCCTAAGGATAATTTTAATGCCTTCTACAATAAATATTGAGAAGAGGATTCGTAAGGTGTTTACATTATCAAGGGATAAAATTTTAATACAAACCTGTTGAATCTCTTACTTGCAACTAAATTTGAATACACCTTACTAAAATACCTCAAGTAAAAGTTATCCAATACTAGACTGCTCCTTAAACATCATCAAATTAAACTTCGTTCATATGTTCTACATTTTCCCTGCTTGAACTGCATTCTAACTAGCCATTTGTATAAGGTTCTATCCTTAATGAAAGGATTATTTCATTCGGAGTACCATATAATCGGGAATAAATCTATCATTGTGAAACAGTGTCAGTAGTTTTTTTAAAATTCTTCATCCCAACCAGTGGCCAAATGTTGAAGACCACCAAATTAGTTCGATCAGTTTTGGGCTCGATTTCACGCGAACTGGCTGGCTGCAGGGCTGGTTTCGTGGTTTTTCCCATGTGTAGCGTGAATACGAGCCAGTTCCCTCATAAAGTCCTCCACGAAGGCATCCCTCCTTTTCGGAACGTAGTCCTCGTTGCTTTGTTATATTCAATATAACCAAACGTCATCTTTAAAATACTCCATTTTCAGACATAGTCGAATCGAGTGAAAAATATAAGTGGGTCGAGTTTATGTTAATTAACAAGTTATTTAAAACTGATTCTCAGAAATCACTCTAAAGCACATCAAGGTTTTTTAATTTTAACGAATATTTGATTAGTAATAAGTGGCATATATGATTTGAAACTACACTGGTCTTTATAATATTAGGAATGTTAAATGTAATTATATACCTTATTGAATTGTTATTTGCGAATACTGCTTTACTATAACTTATTTTCTGTTATTATCGATGTTAAGATAATTAAATTAACAAAGAAAAGTTTAATAACCCGCGATAAAGTTTTATAACATCATAACTTCAAAACATCCGATGGTATTTCCTGTATTGCATTTTAAGTGTAAACTCTACATTTGGTAAATCTAGAACTTGAATTTAACCACGTTTAAACTTAACACTTACAGTTTCATAAGAAGATGATCGGCCTTGTCAAGCGTTTTGTGTAATAATCTTAATTAAGCTTCAGAATACTGCCTATTTATTTAAGCAGTAGAATAGGAATGATTCAAAATATACATGATGATTACACTGCTAATTAATTTTACTAAAATTTGAAATACTTATTACAAGAAAACTCAATTAATTTAATAATTATGCAATTATACACAACTATTCTCAATACAATGATGGCTTTTCAATAATACATGCAATTATCTGTCACACAAAATGCCTTAAATAATTAATACATAAAGTATTGCAGCATTTTAATAATTCTTCATTTTTACGCAATTATAAGGCAAATGCTTTCAGACAAATAATTTTTTCTACAGCCGAAGGTTATTCGCTATAACGAAGAAAAAGTTTTTCTTACTGCATAAAATACAGATGAACGACAAAATGATATAAACACAGTAAAAATAAAGAAAATTATAAGAAAATTTCTTACTTGCTTAATAATGGAAATAATGTTAATTATAAAAATGAGAAGTTTTGTAAATGCATCTACGTGTGTTTATAAGTTTTATAAATACACGTACGTATCACAAATGTTTTGAGATACGTATTTGTTCTGCATTATATTCTTGAAATTTTAAACATTTAGCAAAAGCCGTTTTTAAGTTAAAAATGATTAACTACTATTTAATGTATTTTAAGGCAAAGACTATTAAGCAAAGTAATGTAATAAAAATACGCATTTCAATTAAATGAATAAAACAGTTTATTAAGCAATTGACACTAGAAGCATCGATAATAATGCATAATTAATAGCACCAATAATAAAATCAGAAACTTTTATATTGCTTTCCTGAGCATTTATGACATACTTATTTATATATGAATTATTAAATTCTTCGAACATAAACTGTGCTCGTAAAATTTAACACCATTTAATTTGAAGTATTCAAATTGAAATATGTTTCAGAAAAAAGTGGGAAAAGACATATAAATCGAAATACCATGCAGAATTAGAATTAGATGATATATTTTTCATTCTGTTTCTATCTTAAGTAATCTGCCAAAGTAATTACTACTTACCTAAAAGCAATAAAAACTGACCTGTCTGAGTGCTGATTTAACACACAAAAACCTACCTGGAAGCTTTCTGAAGGAAATTCATTTTAACATTTTTAAAAACATTGAGCAAATAATGAAGAAAACTTGATTAAGTAGTAAAATTTATATTGAATTTATTAATTTCAGAATATTATTTATATGCTTTTAAAGAATTATTAGCTTACCTATTTGTCCAAAACGTGAGTACTTTCTCCTTTGGGATGAAAATTAGCAAAATAGTCTTAAAGAGAAGAATATCGGAAACAAAAATGAAACCTACTTCATGAATACTTTTTACTGGAAGCTTTCGAATACGGAACAATAATAAAAAGATATTTTTATTTACCTTCTCAATTAAAACCAATCTGGATTTGCAATTCAAGCAATATTTAGTTGCAAAAAGCAATGACTGCCTACATCACAGAAAATATTTCACCTGTTATTACAAACCAAACCGTTCCAAATGTTAAAAACAATTAATATCACGATACAAAACTATTTGAAAAATGTTTGATGCTTTAAAATTGCAGTAGAAGTCAGGACCTATAATAGTAATCATTAAGGTAAAACATTAGAGCTCTAAATGCATTTGCAAACAATACAAAGGGTAAAGTTACATATATGAAAATATTCATGTTAAATTTAGTAATTTTGATATTAATGTTTAACATTTGCAACAAATTACTTACCTCCGTAATTCGGCCTGACCCGCCGATCATAGCCTTGGTCAAAGAATGCGTTGAGAATTTTGGTGATGTTGACTCTGTCATCCCTAAAAATAAGAACGTTTTTCAGAAGATAGAAGTAAAAACGTATAACAATTATATGTACTTTTAAAAAACAAATTGTCTTTATAATCTTTTCGTTGTTGAATTCAAATGTAAAAGAAAGCCTGAAATTATAATTACGCTCCCGCAACAAAGTAGATATAAGTGTACATTAGTTGCGCAGTGACACCTAATGAAAGCGTTGCATACCACATGATACAGAATTTCGTGCATTTGAAAAACTAACATGTCATTAATTTATGATACTTATCTTTTAGCTGATGGCCTCCAGTTACAGGTAGAACGAAGTATAAAATTTTACACCTACCGTTATTGCATGAGTCCACCGAGTAAGGAAAACTATGACGTGAAAGGCGATTGTTGACCAAATATAACAATAAATTCTTGAAAATTATAGCAAAAAATGGCGTTTTTATTGAATGTAGAATGAATGGAGAATCTGCAGAATGCTAACTTAAATCTTAACGAAAGTGCTCCATAATTTTTACAGCAAATACATTCCTGAAATTATAGAAGACAATACGGAATTAGAAGTATTAAGTTTTATGCATACCATAAATATCACTTTCCCGGCCAGTAGTAAAGTGCCTGCGACTTAAATGTCACGACTTCCAAGTGCCTGATGTATATTATTTTAGTGTAAGTTTGTAATGATGTTTTAGAGACTTTTCTTAAACTAGGAATGATTAACTCATATTTGAGGACATAACATATGAAATATTTATTTTTTAATCCATTATGATTTATTTATAAATTCAGACAAAAAAGAAATTAAATGAATTAATGCTATATTCCCTTTTTTGCTGTGCATATGATCGATGAAGCATGTATTTTAAGAAACTTTAAGAAGCATGCATTTTAAGAAACTTTAAGAAGCACGTATTTTAAGAAACTTTAAGAAGCATGTATTTTAAGAAACTTTAAGAAGCATGTATTTTAAGAAACTTATCCTCTATTTCACATATTATTTTTGGCTGCCTTTCCATAGTTAATTTTGTTTATATGTAGTAAAAGGAAATCTTTCTTTTCTACATATTTCAAAACCTCATCATGACTTTAAGGATTTAACAGTTGTTTTAGTTCCAGGTAGTGAAATTGCTATAAAAGGATGTTTGTTTTGCATAAATATCTTAACACTCATTGTATTTTTGTGTAACAAGTCATCTAACCGCCTTATGAGTTAAAAAACATTGCATTTGTATGGAAAGTTTTACAGTAAATTTTTGGAAAATTATTCTAGCTTATTCAGATCATACTACTTGGAAAGATGATATGTATATAAATGGGAAGATATTCTGATTGATTTGGTTATTTCTTGTAGCATAAACACTTTATGAGACTGTTTTGGCAGACGTATGCAAAGCTTAGAAATGTGCCATACATCTAACATATAAATTAATTTAAGGCAATTATCTTCAGTATGTGTTCCGTGGTATTCTAGAGTTCCATGAAAATCCTCTAAGGGTTCCGCAGTTCAACATGGAAATTCGAAAGAATTTTTAAATATCATGTGGACAGAAAAAAATAAATGTCTAACATTAATTATCAAAGCAATATTTTTATTTCTGTTATTGTTACTTAAATTAATAAGAAAAGACGTGTCTGATGAGTAAAATTATAATGAAGTGATAATTTTTTTTTCATTTTCCAGATAAACAGTGCAGCATTAATGCATGTTCAATGTTTTTTTTTCCGTATACTTTTCTGAGAATTATAGCCACAAAATTGTAGTGTTACGGATTCCTTGAATCGAAGAAACGCGAAAAACACTAATTAAGAAGAGATTTCATTACATTTGTGGGCATTTCAGTGTGTCTAACAATTTTAATTTTCCTAAGCTTTCGTTCCACGTACGAATTCTTCGAAAATATATTTAAAGAGATCTGAAAGTTAAAAAAATCAGTTTGGCAACATTGCAGAAAATATTCAAAGCTTTAAATCTCTTAAAAAATCAAACAAATGTATATAAAGTGCGGTTCGCACGAAAATTATTCTCAAGCACGGATTAGCTTTGTCGCAAGGTAAATATTTAATTAAAACTTTCATCGATACATTGCACCGTATCAATAGCAAAAGCAACCGTCACCCTAATACTCAAAACGGTATTGCACATTTTAGTTTCCTCTCAGGTTCACGGAATAATTGCTTTTGTTATATACAACAGGTGTTTTACATAGAATACATGTTTAGTGCCTCTTTGACTAGTTTTGTTAGCATTGATAGTGATAGAACATGGAATATTACCCGCCAAAAATTTTCTTTTCCTCGCGATTTATATGGTGTTTCCATTGTATCCATTTTTTCATTTAAAACTTTTTTGAAATGCTTACAGATTTTTAGAATGCTCTGTGCTTCTATGGAATTATTCTAAAATCTGAGAATAATTTTAAACATGACAATGATAACTGCATTAAATGATAATGTTCCTTGAAAAAGGTCAACAGTTAAAATTTAAATTTATTAAATTCATTAAATGTTTCCTATTTTCTTTAAAAAGTTCGAAATTTCTAGGTATTGTGCAAACTTAAACCAATGTTCTGCATAATTTAAATGTAAGCAACGAAAGTGGTTCATTTATATGCATCATTTAGATCCAAGAGGTGTCATTAAAGTGTGCAGATTTTTCTTAAAATCTATAGTCGAAAAAAGGTATAATAAAATCCCAAAAAGTTTTCTAGGAGCAGCTATCGATAATTACGAAATGTACGTTTCTGCTAAATTTCTATTGCATTTAAATCTCGAAAATACGTTTCTTATGGCCGCAAAAAAAAGGTAATTTTGTAAACAGTAATTTCTTCATTTATGTGTTTACGTCGATATCAAAAATTACTTCCAAAGGTTGGATTTATTTCTTGTGGAATAAGGAGACTAGTTTTATAATTTAAAGCAAGGAACTTTATGTATGTTTAAAAATTGTTTTAGGTTACACACGTTTATGCTTTACACAAATTAATTTTCATTTCTGTTTTATGTGTAACAAATTGTTAAAAAAACTTTTAAATAATCCTTAGACCACTATTTACGTGCAACTGAGGAAACATCCTGTTTACGAACAAACATCCCTGAACAGCAGAATGTCTGTCCATGGACACTAAGCTGAGAGAATTTAGGCAACTTAGATCCCCTACTGTTCCTTAATGGGTTCTGAAAGCTTTCGAGCAACATTTTCTATTTAAAAGCCGTTCAGTTAATCCGAAGTAACACCCTCTTCCTCTGCCCGTTTAAAACAATGTACCAGAATGTCACAAATCATCATCAACTGAGATTTTATCGTAACATCAAAGAAGAGAGGCTTATAGGTAGTCTTATATATTTCGCACGCGTATATAAATGGTAATCTTTAGACGCTACAGATTCAGAAGTTTCACATTAAGATTTTTCATTTCAGTTAAGGTTAACAAAAATTTTATTTGGTGTCTTAATTTAAGTTGCTCTTTGTACTTCCTTGTATGAAGTAAAAAGAAAGTATTGTAATCGTATATATTTCGCAGATGTATATAAATGGTAATCTCTAGACGCTACAGATTCAGAAGTTTCATATTAAGATTTTTCATTTCAGTTACGGTTAACAAAAATTTCATTTGGTGTCTTAATTCAGTTGCTCCTTTTACTTCCTTGTACGAAATAAAAAGGAAGTATTGTAATCGTGAAAAATTTCAGGTATCATATTTCGGCGAAAATATCCATTTTGACCTCTATCGAATGCAATTTAACGATGTTTTTGTGTGACATCTGTACGTAAAGACAGAATAAAGAACTCTCGTCGCCCCAAAAAGTTATAAAACAGGTTTAAAATGAATTCTGAATAGAATTTTTCGTGGCGTCTGTGCGTACGTACGTAAATACGTATCTCGCATAATTCAAAAACGAGTAGTCTCAGAACGTTTCAATTTTGTATATAGAACTGCTATAACATGCAGATATGTACCTCGTATTTTGGTTGCAGTCGGACGAACCAAAGGTATATATATATAAGATATATATATCCACTCTGTTTACTCGTTCGTGATCTCAGTCTTATTCTTATATGTTTGTAATTGTGCATTTGTGCTTTAAATGAGTGAATTCTTTGTTCTTATCTTCTGGTATTTCATGCCTTTTAATCGTTTGCATATTTGTCGAATTATCAACAATTTAAAAGTTGTTTAAATGCAGCTAAACTTAAGTTTCGCAACAACAAAGGTAACACCTTCTTTTATTATTGCGAATTAAATCATGCTTAATCCATTCTGGAATTTATTAGAGGAAATAAGTGTTTAAGATTTAGATATTTTGAGTTTTTATGTATTTTTGCCTTGTCGCGAAGTGAGAACTGAATTAATTGAATGAGAAATACTGAATCATCTGTGAAAAACTGTTTTTTTTATTTGCTTAATTTTTTTTATACATCGTTTTAGATTTATTATAGTATTTGAATAGAAAATGTGGCAATGATTAGATAATTCTTCAGATGATATAAATTCTGAGTTATAAAATGAATGAAACGTAACGCTGTTAAGTGAACCTAGCGCCAGAGTGACGTTAAGGTAAACACATATAGTGAATTTTAAAGGGTGCATTTATTCTGTTGTGGCATAGCATATATATGTTTTCATCTGAAGTAAAAGAAATAACGATATTTTATTTTATGCAAATTTCGTTATCACCAGTTGGAAGACAGAACTTTCAGTGAACAATGCCAAAATTATTAAAGTATAATGAATTATAATCTTTAATAGTAGTTTTGATACATTTCATATTTAGAGAAAAAAGGATTACAATAGATATTTTCTATATGACTGATAAGACAAGCTCTTTCTAGGAATTGCATTGGAGAATGCTTCCAATCTTTCTAACAACCAACTGAAATCAATCTAACAATCCAGGATTTCCATTCTAAACTGAGACTAGATGTAAGTAAACGAATTATTGGAAAAAAGAAGGGCTTCTATTCCATTGATCCTCTTTCCATTGAAATTCGATGTTTTATGAAAGAATAAGCCAA